GCCGATGGGTCAGATATCTGTGGGGGTAGAGAAGAGGAATGCATATCCAGTCAGTCAACCTTGCGAAACAAGAGGAGTAACATTACCAATGACGAATGAGAACTGACCATCCAATCCTCAACAAGGCGTTGATATTTTGGGCCCAGCGCTTTGAATTTGCAAGCCCAAAGGCTCGGATAGACTTCGAGTATTTCGTCAAAGGCTTGGTCGTATATGTACCTGACCTCCGCCATGGGCTTAGTGGCCAAAAGTTGGTGATGCTTCTCGTACCATCGGCCAAATAAACGGATCAAGTCGACACATCTTTGCTCAGACCAAGTAAAATTCACGGCATCCCGGCCGTTTGGCGGCAGTCGTCGAAGTGGAGTATCATCCGTAAGATCCTCATCGATAGCGCTGTCCCCGCCGCCTCCGGTCTCGGTCTCCTCAGGGCCTGCAATGGCGGGGTCCTAAAATGATCGGCCAAGGCCGATGGGTCAGATATCTGTGGGGGTAGAGAAGAGGAATGCATCACGTTTTCTTGCTTACATTTCCCTCAATTATCAATGTCCCCACTGCCACCGACACGGGTGCCGCACCTGCCGTGGTCGTGTTAGTTTCAATCCCATCCATCTTGCTGGCCGCTGTCGAAGTGGACATTGCAATATCCATAGGCTAGACAAAGTGTACAGGATCAGTGTACAGAAAAGTCGGTAAATGTGGGTGTGGTGACGAGTAAAGTGAGGAAGCCGGCAGACAGGGGGGAAGCCTCTGGCTCTAAGACAAGTATTCTGCGTACCAAAAACGGGGAGCACTCTTCCTTTGCCGGGTGGGGGCATACTATCGGTGGGCCGACCCAAAGATGACCGAGCCGTCATCATGACAAGGTGCTTGACCACTCTGAGAATCGTCATCAGGTTAAATCCTCGGCCTTTTCAGTCTATAATGAGATTTAACCTTCCGGCGTCAATCTGTCGGCTGGTCTTGGCGATCGTCAGCTGTGTCGGAGAGTAAATCCGATCCGACGGCGCTGCCGGGCCGGGTTTGGAGGGAGGCGTCAAGCGGTCGCTTGGGATATTCCAAAACAGAGCCGCCCGTGTAGTTGGGAACCAATCACAGTATCCCCAAAGCCAAAGGGGTTAAATAAAGAACCAGCATGTTGGAAAAATGTGGATTTACTCAACCAGGCCAATTAAATAATGGTGGACTTGGTGGTCATATTTGATACCCCCCCCCCTATTCAGTCTCTTTCTTTCACCTCTCTCATGACCTTATTTGAAAATGAATGCCATAAGGGAGAAAAATAATCTTCCTCGTAAAAGTAAAGAAGAAAGAAAATTTAATAATGAGGAAGGATAAGAAGAAGAAGAAGAAGAAGGAAGTAAAAGAAGGAGAAGCCTAGGAGAGAAAGAAACAGTGCTTTTGTACAACTGTATCTTTTTTTGTCTTTATCATCAAACACACAGACATACACAGACATATGTACAAACAATACATAAACAACAAGGCCAAAAAAAACAGACATAAAAAAAATCAATACATACAATGGGGGGTATGTTGAGACATAACAGAAGACAACTGAAGGGGCGGGGGGAAGACTCAACAAAACAACACACTACATTATACATGGAACCTCAACAAGATGTGGAACTACGTCAAGAGCAGAAGAGGCCCCATCCAAAAAAATGGACAAAGTTAGAGATGTGTGTATGTGTACATATATTGAGAAAAATGGAGGCCAAAGAAAGAGAGGGTTTTTTTCTTGAGGACTGCAGGGAGGTTCTTCTGATCAAAAAAAAGGGGGGGGGATGTCTTGGGTGGTGCGGTGGTTTTTCGTATGTTCTTCCTGTTCGTGGATCCTCATCTCATGTCCTGCACACATGCCGTGCGGCCACAAGAACCGCTATCAACGGCTGCCCGATATGTACACTCTCCAAAAACAGACAAAAAAAAAAAAAAAAGCAAGGGAGAACTATGGAGTAGAGTATATACACGTGTGTGGGTGAGTGGCTAAGAACATATATTCATTTAACAGGATATGATATGATAAGTTTGTTGTTTTGCTGCTGTTTGCTGTTGTTGGGTATGGTTATTTCAACAAAAAATGGAAATGAAAGACGATGATGATATGTACTGATTATGATTCGGGTTTTTGGGAGTAGGAAATGTGTCATGAAGATACAAAAAAAAAACGGATGAGAAAGCGCTGTAGCATAACAACATAATCATCGATATTCTTTCACTCATATATAAGCAGAAAAAAAAAAGGGGGGGGGTCCTGAGATGAAAGAAGCAATGGAGAAGAATAGGGACGAATGAGTTGAGGTGGAATGCGGAGGGAGAGCCTGGTGTGGGTGTGAATGCAGAACCACATATTCTTCCCCCCCTTTCTAGTCGCACCCCTTCCCTCCGCTGCCCCGCCCTGTGTGGCCAAGAGTCGCTGGATCTCAAGAGGAGCAGAAATGTGTTTAAAAAAAATTGAGCTGGCTCCAAAGAAAGAAAGAGAGAGAGAGAGAGACAGACAGAACGAGACAGAGAGACAGAAAGGAACAGGAGGAACCGCATATATATATGTATATATAGAAGTACCGAGAAAAAAAAAAGAAGAAGAAAGAATCGGTTATATATATATATATACAATAAGAAATGGAATGGAATGAAGAGGAGAACAAAAGATACAAAGATAAAAAAAAAAGAAGAAGAAGAAGAAGAGAGGGGGAAGAAAGAGTACAATGATCTAGATAAGAAAGTGGACCGGTCTCCGGGTCTCAAAGCGACGATCTGGTCTGGACAAGGGTTTATAGAAACCGAAAAAGAAAAAAACAAAAAAAAACATGAAGAGCTCGGGACCGACGAGCCGGTATTCATAAAGACAGAATAAGCATCAAAAGAATCAGAATCGTCAGAAGAGAGTAAGTAGAGTAAACCGAGGAAGAAGCAAGACAACGATAGAGAACAGCAGCTCGATTGAACACCAAGGTGAGGGGAGGAGGAGGAGGAGGAAGAGTCTCAGTGGGAGTGGGAGAAAAATGGGTTAATCGGAGGGAGACGAAGAAGAAGGATGAGGGTCGATGAGAGCAATGGGCGATCCATGGCCGGGAGAATGGTGAGGCCGTTTAGAGGAGGCGGAAGAGGAGGAGGGTAGTTTGGGTGTGATGGCCGCGTTTCGAGGGGTCGCCAGTTTAGCACCAGCGACGGTGGGCCCGGGCGACGATGAGGCTACAGGTGAGGAAGAGGCCCATAGAGTCCCCGTCGTGCCTTCTCCCGCCGTCCGGCCGCTCGTCTTGTGGTTCCCTCCTCCGGCCCCTGACAGGCTCCGGACCGGCGTGCTGCCACCCCCCGTCATCCCGGCATTACTGCTACTACTACTCGCACTCGTCGTCACAACTCCTACTTCTTCTGCTAACTTCTTATAGGCTGCATTATCATGATCAAACCCAAACCCAAAATCAGTTCAATCTTTTCTCTTGAAATCCAACATGGAAGGAAAGAGAAAAAAGAACATACCAGGAATGTGTTGAACTCTAAGCGAGACAATCATTTCTTTAATTTTCTCAGAGATATCAGCTTTAAGTTCGATCGAGAGGAACGAGCTTGTGAGAGTTTTCGAGATAAGGTTAACCCCATGAGCCTGATCACCCAAGATTTCCTCCAGCACTGATTTATTAGAATGGAAGATGCCGTCGACGATGATGCGGGAAGCTATGGGGTCGAAGTTCTGGTTGATGATTCTAAGGACAGTAACGGAGGCGAGTTTGTGAGTGCAGAGATGGGCGAGATGGGGAGCTAGTCGGGGCGCCAGAAGTCGATACCGTCCGGCCAATCCCGAACTGTCCAATAACCAAGTGAGCAATAAGGTCCCGTTAGGATTGGTTGCCAACGGGATCGAGTTGAGGATCACCGCGATGGCGACGCGTTTGATTTGGAGCGGAAGGGCGTGCTTGGACTCGAGACAGGTGCGCACACTGCGGGCCCCGAACCGGCCCTGGGCAACCTCCCAGATCCGGTCGACGATCGCATCGAACACAAAGTCATTGTACGGGCTCCCAAACCGAAGACAACATTGCATCACATAGTTCCCCAGGGAATCCAGTAGGAGAGGCGGGCCAAAAGGCCGTAGGTTCTGGCTGATCAGCTTCATCTCCTCTGCCGTGCTCGCGCAGTCAATCATCTTCTGCGCCGCCCAGGTCCCGTTCTTGTGACAGCCAATGATCGCCAGATGGGGTGCACATCGCTCTAACATCATCATCTTGATCGGATGCGAGCACTTCTCAAACAGCTTCTGGACGATCGTGTTGCCGATATAATCGGACGAGAGGTAGATGATCTCCTCCAATAGCTCGCTAGCGATCTGGTCCATCTCCTCCTGACTGAGAGTGTTCGAATCGAACCGTTTACGGATTTCCCTCAATCTGGCTGGATCTGAGACCGCGCTAACCAGTCTCCGATGCGGATCGAGTTGGTTGATCGGGGGTGGGACGGTGGTGTAATAGGTAACCGGCGGTCGGAACTCAGCCACCGAAAGCTTGTCCTCCTCATACTCCTTCTCGACAGCCTCGTCCGACTTGTTGTTCGGATCCCGACAGAGCTCTTTCATCAACAGTTGCATCTCTGTAACCGAAGGCAGAGGGGTCGTACATATTGTCGAACTAGCTGCTTCTCGATCGATTGAAGTACTAGATTCGTTGGGGACCATCGCACTCGTAGCTAGCGGGAAGGCGGCAGAAGTATTGGGAATGCTACCACCTAGGGGGAACCCATTGAGTGCATGGATTCCATTGGGAATGAAGCTCATCGCCAAATTTGAACGGTAATCTTGAATGCTTCCACTCAGGATCTGTTGGTCGAGCGGGACGGCTGAGGCGCCTTTGATCCGGGCAAGAGTTTCATAGGCAAGCTGTTGCTGGGCAATCTGCTGATCTTGCGTCAAGCCGTCCATTTGGGCTGAGGGCGAAAACGTACCGGGTGCTTTGACGGGAACTTTGGCGTAACCGATTTTAACTGCACCCACTTCACTTCCCAGAATCTCACGCCCACTGAGAGCTTTGCGGGCACGAACGGCATCATCAAGATGCTCAAAGTTGATAACTAATTTGATCATCATCATCATCATCGGAAAAATTCATAGAAAGATCATCAGTTTGGAACAGTGCTGATTGGATGGAATTAAAATCACTGACATCCGCAATTCTTATGTGACAAAACTCGAACCGATTCGATAGCGCCATAGGGGGAAAAGATGTCCATGAGATGGTTGGGAGTAGTTTGAGAGGGAATACTGCCGACCCAGAGAGCACGGGTGGGGCTAGACTGAAGGATGGGGTCACCATTGGGTCCAAGCATGACGCCGCCGACATTGGTGTAACCAGAGGGATTGGGGCAGATGTTATTGATTTGACTGGATGAGACGATTCCGTTGGGGCCAGGTATGTTGGTCAAAGAGAGCATCATCATCGTTTGAGAAAGCCCGTTCACCAATCCGGATCCACCCCGAGCACTACCGATCGGCGTGGTAAGAAGGCTGGCAGGTGTTTGCGGGGCGGATTCGGGCTTGCCAAAACCGATTCGGATGCATGTTGGACCGTTCTTGAGATTGATTTGTCCTTCTAAACGGTTAACGATATCATCCTTGGCATGAACTGCATCATGGACCGATACAAAGTTGATGAAACCGCACTCCTACACCAGATCAAAATCGTCAACAATGATCCCCAAGCAGATTTGATAAAAGAAAAACCTACTTTGTCAGGGAGAAGACGGAGACTTTCGATTGGACCATACACGGCAAAGACGTTCATCAATTCTTGGGCCGTAGTTGAAGGATCGAAATTTCCGATCCACAGACTGCGTGATGGTTGTTGCATCATCCCGGCCATGTTGAAGTCGGGTGTGATTGGTCGGGAGGCCGACATCCAATTTTGCTGAAAAAAAAGGAAAAGAAAAGAAAAACACCAAGACTACTATCAAAAAAAAGGATTTCATCAAAACCGACCAAGTTGTCAAGACTCACATAATTGAGAGGGTTGAGGTTGTGATTTGAGTGCGACTCATTAGAAGGACTATTGAGAGAGTTGAGGAAGCCAGAGTGCTTGGAAAATCCAGCGAGGGTTCCGGCCCGATTTCTGACGGCCGCTGCAGCGGCGGCAGCTGAGAATCCAATCGGTGTTGTGGGAGCGCCCATTCCGGCCAAGAGTGAAGCTCCACCGAGGGTATTGGCCCTGGGTCTGCTAATTGGGGCAGTAAGTAGTCCGTTCGAGCTATTTGAATTCAACATTGCCGAGTATGCAGACATCTGCTTGTCATGGACTGAAAAGTCATATCGGGAGTTAGCAAAACAACACAGATAAGATAGTTAGTTAGTTAGATGGAGGAGGACTGTACCTTCTGCCTGCATGGCGTCGAGTTGTTGTTGTCGACTGGTGGCGTACTGACTGGCCAGAGAGTTAGCGCTTCCGAGAGGAGCGGCGTAATCATCTTCGAGTATCGAGGGGGAGTTACCACCTGAATGAGTATAGAGGTTCTCATCCGATGGGAATGGGGAGGCTCTGAGGTTGTTAGATTGGCGTCTTAAGGATGAAGGGGAGGGGGCGACGCCAGAGATGGTAGAAGCACGCATCCGATTGGCGAGTGCGGAGAGTGAGGAGTTGGAGGAACCGATCGGAGCTGGTTGAGGGTAGCCGGCGGGAGCGTTGAGGACGTGGTAGAAGCCCGAGGAGCCAACAAAGGCTGATTGGGGCTGGTTTGGGACTGTTGGTGAGACGGGCGAGTCGGCATCCAGGCCGAGATAGTCCAGGGTTCGTACGTGGCCAGCCTCGTCGGGGTCTTCGCTCTCGCCCAAGGCTGAGTCGTCGGAGCGGATCGAGCGTAGCTCTTCATTCATTCGCGAGCTACGTGGTACGAAATTTGTCGAGAATACGCCTCGGCCGAAGTAGGATGATGCTGAGGAAGGAGGAAGAGCAACAGTACCAGCCCGTGCGCGTGTTTTGTCGAGAGAGAGATGGAGATCTGTGAAGGAGGGCCAGTTTGGTATTAGTTTTGATTTTATTTGATTTTGAGTTTTAAAAGAGTCAAGGGGTTTGACTGACTCATATCAGATCTCATGTGGTTGTTATTCATGCGAGCGTCTTGCATCGAGGTGGATCCATAGAGGCCAGCGCTCCCGATTGAGAGTAGGGAGTTAGTTGAAGGAAGCGAGGCGCCTGGAGTGAGTAGGTTGAATTGCCTGAGTAGGTCAGGACGGGATGGGTTGTGGTTGAGGGAGTGGAGTGGAGAGGAGGCGGAGGAGGGGAGTGAGTTGAAGCTGGAGGGCAGGGTGCCAGCACGAGGACGACGAGCAGTGGAAGGGGTGTTGTTGTTGTTGTTGTTGTTCGTTCGGTGAGTGGTTGTTGTTGGTGAGGGGTGAGTGTTTGAGGTGGCTGATTGCGGTAAGCTTGAGAGGTTTCCGGTTCGTACAGTCCGATGGCCTCAGCCGAGTCATCTCACCCATCGTGCGAGTGCTGTTTTGGTTGTTGTTGATGTTGTTGTTGTTCTTGTTGTTGGTGAGTAGTGGAGTGTTGTTGTTGTTGTTGTTGTTGTTGGCTGGTGAGCTCATGTTGGTTGGAGGTGAGGGGGGAGGAGAGTGAGAGAGTGAAGGGTGTTGTTTATGGGCTGAGTAAGGTGGACTTGACCGTTGCTGGCCAAAAACAAACTAAACTAAAAAATCACCATAACACCCAACAACAACAACAACAAAAAAAAAAAAAAACAACAACAACAACAACAATCAACCGTCCAACTGGTTACAACAACTACAAACTCGCAAAAATGATTGAACTACGTAACACAACACAACACAAAAGGCTCACAACTACCTGTATCCTACCCGCTAAAATGAATCAATCAGAATACAGACTATTCCGCAGATCTCACTCACTGGAGTTAGGAAAATCATCTTCAAAGAGAGAGCTAAAGAACAACCGCAAACCAAGTACATAACCATTCCACTTTGATAAGCAAATCCTTTATTGGAGATTTCATAAAGATTGAGAGAACAACTTTTAGGGAAAAAAAAAAAACAAAAATCAAACCAGATGAGCAAATCAAGAGAGTGTGGGGTATTCAGAATCACTTAATAAACTAACAGTTTGGGACTTGATTGTAACATTGGACACTGCCCTGTGAGCATACTTGTCTAGTTATGTAAGACTCAGCTTGACAAGTCTCAGGCAGATTTGTATCTTGTACTATGTACTGACACAAATCATCATCACAATAACACATATTCTGTAATTTTGAACCCCAATATATAGACAGATATTTGATGCATTGATAAGTTAACCTACAATAATATAGACTCACAATATGAGTGTGGGAGTCATTCCTCATCCCACACAACAAAAAAAATCAAACACATCCATCAGTAGAGCCTAGAGGAGTCCCCAACATCATTCATTACAATAGTCTATAAGATCAAAAAACAAAAACAAAAAAACACTTGGTATCTATCAGTTAACTGGATGACTTCCTGTCAGATCTGGGGCCCTCCCAGTTTGTGATTCAGACCCCAAAAAGCCTAGATCTTCTTGCAGCAAAATCTAGCTTCCCATGCAAGGCTCTGAATCAAAACTGGGGAACCCGCAGATCTTGACAGGAAGTCCTAGGACCCCTGAAACCACCCAAAATGTGGGTGACATAGACACGAATTAACAAAAACCCAGGTTGACTTTCAACCATCCATGGAATTGGGATCATTTTAACATGGGGACATGTACAAGGAAGAGGTGCATCTTGTAAATGTCTTCATTTAGTCCTGAACCTGCACCAGTCCCCCTTGAGAATCCAAAAACTACAAAAAAAAAAAATGTATGAATCCAAAATTCATACTTTTTTTTTCTAGTTTTTGGCTTCTCAAGGGTTGCTGATGCAGGTTCAGGACTAATGAAGACATGTACAAGATGCACCTTTTCCTTGTACATGTCCTCATGTGAAAACCATCCCAATTCCATGGATGGTTGAAAGTCAACTTGGGTTTTTGTTAATTCATGTCTACGTCACCCACATTTTGGGGCAGTTTCCAGGGTCCTGAAGTCCTCCACTGTCTACAATATCTAAGGAGATCAGACATCATCAGAACTGGGGCTATGTATTGTCAATTGGATTATTTGAATATTATGTATCTCATGATCTAAACTGTCAAAACCTGCCCCAATCAACTACATTTTATCTACTATCAACAGTGGTATGTATCACGAGATCCACATACTTGTTTTCTTTGAATCAACTAAACAATTATCAACTCCAGTATGTATTACTCAAGAAAAGGCACCCATCCCTCAGCAGATACATCATGTATACATAATTACTTGTCAAGAAATCCTCATGTTTTTCTGAAATCTTATCCATGGTTGGTTTCTTTACAAAACAATTTTCTCATTACATAGGTTTCTTTTCATTAAAAAAAAACAAGCTGATTGTGGACATGAAAGATGGTTCCTGAATTGATGGTGTTGCAGGGAGAGGGGGGGGGGGCTGATAAGGGAAGAGAATAGGAAATAATTGGTGGACTTCCCATCGACATCTGTGGGTCTCCCAGTTTTGATTTAGAGCCGCAAAAGCTAGATTTCCCTGCAATAATCTAGACTTTTTGGGTCTAAATTGCAAACTTCAAGGGTCCCAGATCTGACAGGAAGTCCTCCATTATCCAGAGAGGAGACAGGCTTTTCTGAAGTATGGTTGATATGAAGGCCTGGATAGATGGAGCCATTCTTGGATTCTTGAGTGGCTAACAAGATAAATGAGATATTGTCACAAAACAAGTAAGTCTCTAAATCTATCTAACCAAAGTGCTTATAGAACCTTATGACTAACACAAACCAGTCTCATTTCAAAGATTTTTTCAATTGCAGATTTTACTAACAAACACATACAGTTGAGGTGAGTTATTTGATGGCATCATGCAAGATATGTGGTGTAAGAATACCCTATATTTGAGCCTTTGTTGAATGTAGATACTAGCTAGTCTGCAAGAATCTTGAGACATACAGGTATCTTTAGGGAGGTTTTGGGAGCTCAGCTAACATCATGGTCAAAGGCAAAGTGGGATCCGGTTGGCATCATGGCGGAAGAAAGTCAACCTGGCGGGCAGCTTGGCTTAACCCATTGATACTGGTTTTATGGGGTTAAGGTGGGGAAGAGAAGAACGGGAAAGAATCAGGTCACCACAGGGCCGGATTATAACCTTCGACGAGCGCCGGATCATCCTTGAATTCTTCGGCCCATTCTTTAAATCCACCCTGGACTATCATCACTTCTTGTGCCTCCCCTCGAGCCTGAGCTTCTGTCCCAAATGGAAGCAACGACTTCAACGAACCCTTTGTGATACATAAAGAATAGCTACCAAGATCAGTGTGATGGCTTTGACCATCCAAGAAGACTTGATCGACTCACCGAAACCAGATTGTCTTCCCTCCGATGCGCATATAATTTGGCAGCCGTCGGTCCTCGTTGCTCTGCAATTGTCTCATCATAAGTATCTCTTGGAGCAGATTTTGTACCTGTGGTCACTTTGGATGGACCAGAATCCGACTCACGAGAGAGAGCACAATGGAAGATCACACATTTCACGTCTTTCAGCTCATCGATCAGCGCTTTACATTTCTCGTGGAAATTTTCAGAAGGTATGTGGTGACATCCTGGGATGTGACCGCCCTGGCGAGCCAACGGGTGCATACATAAGTTCATCGAAGCTATCACCGCAACCGAGCAAAAAAACACATACGATAAAATCCGAGTCTACATAGATCCGCGAACCAGCGGATCAAAACAGCCGTCGAAACATGTGGGTCAGCGAAAGCCACAACAAATGGATGTACACAGCCAGCCGAGTCTTTGTACCTCTGACGTCGACCACTGCCCCTACAAGATTGCAACGATGAAACAGGCAAAAATGGTCACCCAATTAACAATTTCCAACCAGCAGAATGAGAGGCTGTGTAATTATAGACTACATAATATGGGAAGCGGTGCTCCCAAACTCACAGTCCTTGTTGAGACGACCAGTCTTGATCCGGTTGGCGATTACCCGAGGCGGGGCGAAGCTGATAAAGTCCCATGCTTGCGATGCGCGTCGAGAATGGTTGGGTTTATGGAGCAATCTGCTGAACGTCACTCGGTGTGGGGATGGTTGCGAAGGCCTGCAACATCGACATTGAGCCTTGGCGTGAGAAAAGGTGAGAAATCCACGAACTTATCGCAAGTCTCCCGCTGCGGCGGGCGCATCTGGCAGCGTAGCGCTGGCCAGGCGGTTCCCGAAGGAAACTCCCCGCAGGGGAGACTTGGGCCAGAGGTCGACAAACTCAGGTGCTGAGTTTGAGTTGTTTTGGTGGGAGCGTCACAAGATTTGAAATCCTGACGCTCCCTCAAAACTTTCTTGATGTTTGTCCTGGAATTTTACAAGACCTGCCTGATCTTGTTGATCAGGCCAAAACTTAGAAGTTGCACCTTGCAACTGTAATTAATAATAAATTTCTTAAATTATGATTTGAACTTTTTTTGAGCTCAAATGCGGGGTTTGCTCAACTTGGGCCCACCAAAAGAAGCCAAGTTGAGTTGAAAAGTCAACCTTTTCAAAAACTTTTTATAAATAATTAACAAGCATTACCAAAAAACTGAACACAGGGAAATATGGGCAAGACACAGGCCTCCCCTGTCCCAGGAGGAAATTAGATGAGTATGATTAAAGGAGTGCTTAGAGTGGAAAACACACAAAAAAGTGAGTTTTCAGTTGAATTTTGAAAACTCAGCACGCGGGGATTGTCACATTTGTCTTAGGCCTCCACTGGCGTGGACAGCTCCGCTGCTCGCTACCGCTCCCGCCGTGGAGGCCTAGTTAGGCTCGAGAAATCCACAACTGTAACATATGCAGACGCCGATAAACACCGGCCAATCGGATTTCCGATGGCTGCGCCGCTCTGTGAACTGCGGTGTACGATAAATCACGTGGATTTGATTCTTGACTCCTTGACTCCTTCAGTTTGATCAAGGCAAACTGGTTCCTGCACTTTTGTTATTAACACAGGGCAGCAGAATACCCATCAATGAGAATGAGACTACATACTCAGGAGATAAGAAAGGGAACTGTGAGTCTCAAGAAATGGGTTATTCAAAATTGGTCCAGAAGCCTAAGTAAACTGAAAACAAGGGGTTCAAGGAGTCGGAGGGATGCAAGCATTGGTTGTGAGCATCTAGAAATTGGCATCAGGTGTTCAAATAAAAAGAAAAGAACAGTGTCTAGCTCAGTGATCCTGGATGGAAACTGCTGCAAATGCAATGATAGTTTCTTTCTCTTTCCCTGTGAATTGGCCAGCCAAAGTAGTAGGGCTCTTTTTCATTCCACACAATCCAACCTCCTCAATCAGTCCTCAAATTCTTGAGAAGTGCATTAAAGTTGATAGTGGTTGGATTAGCACACTCATAGATCCTGATTAACTTTTAAAAGTCTTGAGTGCACTGTCCAAATCAAATCATCATTCCCATAATCAGCCATCAAATGCTTCTCCCTTAAAAATTTACTGTGAAAGAAATCCTGTCGCAGGGTGGCATTGTAAAAGTGATAAGTCAACTGCCACCAGTAAGCAATTTTTCTTGTTTCAGAGATATTGCAGCTAAGAATTGGTTGATGTGCTGTACATATGCAGTGTGTTTGACTGATACACACCATCATTGAACCCATTTATGTTTCTATCTATCTCAATCATCTGGATGAGAATGTCAGTGTGTCCTCTGCAGACTGAAGCAAGGGCAAAGGTTACCACCTCACATGCATCTCAAGGGTTTTCGAACAGAGTGAACACTAGTCGATCGTTGGGGTGCAAGCACCTGCATTGAGGTCTTCAATGCTGATGTACTAAAACCTCTCAAGCTTACATCAAAATGAGTAGCTGGGATGTTCAAGCAGAGATGGCTACATCAGGGGACAAGACCTCACAGATCAACGCGTATATGGCTCGGGTGCGGTCAGCATACTTCTCCAGAAACATGCCACAGAGATCAAGTGCAGGGATGTAAAATTGCTGGATAGCAGGCAAATCAAATGAACGCAGTTGGAATGCATGGTCAATTTGTTGGGGAATAGTCCCCTACTAGGTATTAATTGCGGGCCGAGATGAATGGAAGATTCCAAACTAGTGACATTCATACTTCTTAGGTAAGATGTCTACAGCATTTTTACGTGATTCTGACAGGTTGGGTACTGAAGAATGTACATGCAGTAAATTTAAGAATGATGTTGGGAACTATACCGGAGGGTGACAATGGGCAATGCTAGTCAGAGATGACATGACTTGATTGAATCTGAGAGCGTCTTTCACCGGCTGGTAGAACAAGGTGGTTAGTTAAGTGACAGGAACTTGCACTAGGCATACCCGGAACTGCAGCGAAATTACTTTACCTTTTTATTCTTTTGTGTGTTGTTTAAGGCTGAGCAGGGGTAGTTTCGGCGGTCGCAGCCGCTTGTTGAGGCACGGCATAACCAGGTTGGCCATAACCTTGAGGTCCAGCTGCATATTGAGGATAGCCGGAATATTGAGGGTAGCCGGCCTGGGGCATGCCATACATTTGGGGCTGAGGTGAGCGAAGGGGATGGTCAGCAATCGTTATCGAATGGATAGCAAAACAGCGACTAAAGACTTACCATGCCGTACATACCCGCGACCGGAGCCATCGGCATTCCCGAAGCAGGGGCAGAGTTGGGGTCAGCAGAGGCTCGATCTTTACCCCAAGAGCACTTGAGGGGTCGCCCGTGAACGGGGGTACCAGTCAGGTTGACAATAGCCATGGCAGCATTCTCGTGGGTATCCATTTTGACGAAGGCAAATCCTCTGTCGGCCTAGATGAGGAGCCTGTATCAGATGATTGTATAATGGGATCGGGGATCGGGGTTACTTCGAATGTCAGTACGCACCTGCATTCTGATTTCCACAATGTAACCAAACCCTTGGAACAGGGGGATGAGGTCGGCTTGAGTGGAATAAGGAACCAAGTTACCGGTGTAAACGGTGGTATTATAGGCAGGGGCTTGTTGCACAACTGCTTCGTAGTTGGTGGCACCTCCGAACCCACCGCGGTTCATTCCCCCACTACCCATGCCAGGGGCAATGACAGCACCCGGGGTGGCAGCCATTCCTTGATTCTTCTGGTTCGCCCAGTTTACGCGGATCGCTCGAGAGCCGAGCCATTCGCCGTTCATTGTAGCGATGGCCTGCTCCGCGTCTGTTTTGTCCCGGAAGGCCAAGAAGCCGTAACCTCGGGATTTGCCACTGTTCATGTCCCACATGACTCGGGCATCAGACAAGGAGCCAAAAGCGGCGAATGCCTTGGCAAGAACTTCGTCGTTTACTTCAGGTGAAAGATCGCCAACGAAAACATGATAGTGCGTCGACAAGTCCTCTTTGACGTTGCTTTGCTGTGAGTTGACGATAGGTAAGAAGTTGGTTGCTAAGGTGTTTGGATGGAGTGCTGGCGACTTACGGAGTTTTGGTAGGCCCAGTTGACCCGAATTTCCGTGTCAAATATCTTGCGGCCCCCTAGAGTTTGTAGAGCCGTCTCAGCTGATCGCATTTCATAATATTCAACAAAACCATAATTGAGTCCGCCGTGTTGGAAGTTACGATCGGGAATGATTTTCACTCCCTTTAGGTAGTACGTTTATTTGGGTAGGTAATGAATAGAATAGGAGGAGGAAGGCAAAGAAGGGTGACGGAAGGAGGTAGAAACACGTAGTAGAACAGATGCGATTCGGAACGAAGAGAGTTGAGGGAGGAATAGTGCGCATAGTATGACGGGAAATGGAAAAATTCAATGAAAGTTCAAAGAGAAGATGCTAGTTGACCAAGTTTAAAGTAGCTCACCTGAACTGGGCCAGCAACGGAGAAAATTTCTTGGAGCATGTACTCAGTCACACGTGGGCTAAGGTTTCCGACGTAAAGATGGGCACGTTTTCCTTCAGGGTTGCCGGTGTATGGGTTGGGGGGCTGACTGGCCGGAGGCGCGCCAGAGCCAGCGGCAGCGGGGACCGCGGCGTTGTTGTTGCCATAAGCGCTCTGGGTGGTGGAGGCAGTGGTAGCAGTACCGACCGGGAAGGCGGACGGCTGGTTTTGAGCTTGTTGTTGGGCTTGGGCTTGTTGTTGCTGCTGTTGGGCGTACGCAGCATACTGCTGAGCGTACGCTTCATAACCCTGGGTGCCACCTTGAGGGCCGTAACCTGGAAAGACAAGTGAGTGAGTCTTGGGGTTCGTTAGACTTGCCATTAGCACGTGATCGCCACTGACCACTAGCAGGGTTTGCAGCAGAGCCGCTGGGTGGTTGAGCGTGATCGGCGGACATCTTCAGAATGAACTATTTAAGGAGGATTGACTATAAAAGAACAGAAAGTCAGTCGTTGGGAAAGCAAGTTACCTGATGGAGAAGATAAGGCAGAGAACCAACCGATAAGAACGACGGGTCAGACGGCGATCGATGGAATCCCGAGAAGAGGGTGACAATGGAGATTCGGAGGCAGGGAGGTGTTCGAGGCGGCAAAGAAGTAAAAAAAAAAAAAAACGTGGCATGTCAGACCGATCGCCGGTCAACACTGACCAGATGGACCGAAAGAGGGAGAGAGGTGAAAGACTAACCTAAAGACAGAAGCAGTCGAGTCAACTGTGAAGACAGAACAGGTAAAGGGTCCTTCTTAGCGTTCAAGAGAGGAGGTGCTCGAGGATGCTGTCAACCCGAGGTTATCAAATCACAGGGAGGGAGGACAAGCAAAAGATGAGAAAATGACAAGATGAGGGAGAAGATGGACTGAGGAAAACGAGACCAAAACCCAAATCACAATCAAAGAAGAAACCGTTGAAGTTGAGATAGAGAGAGAAGGAAGGGAGATAGAGAGAGAGAGAGATGAAGGAGATAAGAAACAGAGGAGACGGCAGAGAGAAGAGAAGACAAGAGATGGCGATCGAGTTGAACGAGACTCTTGGACGGTCGAGTACGGGAATGGGGGGATGGGTGGAGCGAGAGGTGGTGGGATTTTAAAGTCAAAAAGTGGGGGAACGGGAGCCGAGTCGGAGTGGATCCGGAGGGGGTTTAAAACCCGAGTTTTGGACATGGACTAAAATACACAGTGGCAGAGCAGGGAGTTAAGCTAAAGTCAAGGTAGTAGATAACAAACTCACCGAACTCTGGTCGGCACCTCAAACCCAACAACGCCTTGAGATTGACAACCGAAGCTCTGATAAAGTATGAGGACAAGAGCCAAGGTTTTTCCCTCCTTTCAAGAAAGGGTTGGTTCTGCTTCAAGCCTGGATGGCAAGATGGTTCGCGACTGGGTTTCACTCCCAGAAGCCGTGAGTGGGACTTTGGTTTGGAAGGTGGAGACAGGAGACAAAAGTTTAACCCACGACCAAAACAAGTTCAATTCGTATTGAGTGGCAAACCCCCAACTCATCCCATCCACGACTCACACGCCCCTTGCCTCACAACTTGATCAATTCCAGTGGAGGCCAGCCTGGGGTCCAGTCTGAACAGATTTTACCCCCTTTTCGTCGTTATATTTAATAATAAAAATTAACTATCTACCGAGACCCGCCGGCAGAGCCAAGCTTGACTTCCATCAACAAACTTGGGTGCATACGCAGTTCGGGTCTTTCAACATTCTTGTTGGGGTTCGGTACATTTAATTCATACGTGGAATTTCAAGCGGTCATCATTCCCTCCGACCCGCCCTCCACGGTACACTTCCTCCAGTTTCAAACGGTTGAAAATAGGCCAAATCGATCTCGGTCTTCTCTTCGAGAACCCTAACCATGAGCTGCGGGAGTTCGCTGCGCTTTCCGATTGCTCTGGTGCCCCTTGTTTCAGAAAAGGCAAATTTGCCAGATAAAGAAACAAAGTGTATACATCAACAGATTATGTGTACATACATATCTGATACCAGGTTGAGGATGTAACCCAACTGTTTATGCTTTCCTTATCTGGAAGTCATTGGAAGCTCACTTTCCAAGTTTGGAGGGTCGTTCCCAAGGGAAATCAAGAAAATTCCAAGGGCCTGGGGGATCTGGTCCAAAAGACAAAGTGGATGTGATGCCAGGAAAGAAGTAACACTGTCTAAAAAATTGGAAGAGCAACAGAGACGATCAGAGGACTGAATTGAGTTTTGAAAGAGACCTAAATTCCAAAATCTAAAAGGATATGGATCATTCAATTGGCCTTTGTAGCTTTTGTGAAGCAAGAAGGATTTAAAACATTCTGTTATTTGTTTTTGTATATTACATCCATAATGCATCAGTAAAGCCATGAGACTGAGTGAAGAAACTAAAAACATCCCACAGTAATGATTGACAAGGAGTAGGACTCATTAGATCAAGTCAAAAGAAGCATGAGAGCATCTCCAACAGAGTGGGGGTGGATTGGGCTTTTTTCAGTGGACTCAGCCAGGATTACACAAGTTGTTCACCCACTTTGGCTTCTCAAAAATGTGGACCTCAAACATATCCAAAAATTACTCTATATTTTGATCTTGTGTAGGAGGGACTTGACCAAATTGGAGCAGACCTGCTTAAATCAGGCTCTGACCAGGTCACCAGCTGTTTTCCCTTTTAATACAGGGTGGCTTGGAAAAACTTGGAAATAACTGCAGGAGAGAGACCTGCCATTCTGTGTGACAGTGGGTTGAGCCTGCTGGAAACAGATTATAGATGCTCTAAGTTTGTTGCATTAATTGAACATCTAAGTCTTAAACAAATGATTTAGGGCCTGTACTGCAGGATTGAATTTTGGAAAATGCCACAATGGTTGAAAACAGAGGGAGAGATCTGGTGTCAAATTGCTTCATTTGTGGGCTTACAACTTCCCTTTGGTGATGGTCACCTTTGATTATATGCAAATTTGAGGGATATGAATTATAAAAAAACATGCCATAAAACAAGTCTTCCAATCTTCAGCTTGTTTTCTGGAACATCATTGTAAATTCCCAAAATAATGGAAGGACTTTTTCTGGTAAAAGATGAATATTTTTTTTTGGGGGGGGGGGGGGTTTCAAGATCATATTTTGAAACCTATGTTACACCACTTGACCAACACTACAAGAAAAAGCCAAGCAACTGCTAGCACTTGACATACAGAAAGCTCCAATCAAACCTCAATGCAAGCTGAGCTCATTGCGCTGATGTCATTTGGTGGTACAACCCTGAGACTTCAAAGAGGTGGACTAGAACAAGGTAAAACAAAAGTGTGAGTTCAAATCAAGTTCAGTGCAGACAATGGTCTGAGCTCTTGCATGTCACCAACGCTGAAACAGATACGGTATCTGCCATGTATCTGCCATGTATCACTATGGATCTGAGTCCAAATAAAAAAAAACTATCTGACCAATCTGCTTTTATTTGCAAGGAGATTCAAGAAATTTGGTTTTTGGCCATGCAGCTTTGCAGAATTCTCCATGATACACACAGTGTATTGTATCTGTGGCACCGTTGATGTCACAGTATCACCTGACACCAGTTGCTTAAATTTTTCTTGTAGTGCAAGTCACAAGACTTTGATTCAGTTGGTTGGAATTTTGTAATCCTAAACAAAAGTCTATGAACATGAACAAGTATGTGTAATAGGAAAATTCATTGGAATTTTATTTAGTATGAAACTTGGCACTTTGTTTTTCTTTCTCATTCTTTTTATTGTTTCTTATCATTTATGATAGTTCTCAATTTCTCATTTCCTTTGGTCATACTTTTGTTCTAAGGATTTGATTCAGAAATCTCACAAAAAAACAGGAAGTGAAAAACATCTTTAGCTACTGTATCACCCAATTCAAAAGGCACAAAAATTCATGAAACTAATCCTAGAGAATTATCAACCAAAAGATCTGTGATTTTATCATTGTATAATTTATCAATTTCTGTCTTGAATCAGAATACCTTTGGTGAAACTTTTTCAACTCCAACTTATCATGCACCAACTATTTTTCAACAGTCAGCTGTATGTATTGAGCTTAGCTGAACTAAGCTTTGAGCTAGCCTCAAGTAACAACACAGTTTTCCTCGCACATTCCAGATGCCAACTGTTGGAGTTGATCACTGAGTTTTTATTGCAGTGAGGGAGCAAAAAATCTAAATGGTAGGAATCTTGTATGCAGAATTTTAGTGCTGGGCTTGCATCATACATTTATTGGATTTTTTTTCTGGAGAGAAAAATCATTTCTTCTGAAATAGATTTTCATTGATTTTTAACTCACATTACTCAAGATTCCTCAGGTTGATTTGGCCCACAAGAGCATCTGTGTTGGTGTGCAGTTTCATCCAAAGATTCATGCTAAAATTTTGGGCCTTCAGCCATATCATTCAAACACACCAGGCTAAGCTAAATCTAAGGAAAAATGAATTTTGTTTCCAATTTCACCTAAATCTTGATCAATTTTAGAAATTTCAATATTTCTGGATTACTAGATTCTGTTGTGAGTTGCTGGAACTGTAGCCTGGACTCCTACACATTTAACTCATAACAGAATCTAATTAACAGTGTCTGTACTATTTGGATTCTACCTGATGCACCACAAGGTGAAACCACAATGACACAACTGAAAGTCACTCAATGTTGTAGTTTAACACATCTTTACAGGTTGTGGAAAATTCAAATTTTTCACTTGTGGCTATTGCTAAGCTCAATAGCAACCACATGTCAAATACAGTATGTACAGGCACTGAACAGATTCTATTTATCCAGAAAACTAATTTTTGCCAAATATAGAAATTGTTCATTGAACTTGGAGCTTCAAGCCCACTTTTCTCAGACTGAGCTCAAACTGATGCAGTTGGGTTTTGTTGCTAAATAAAATATTTATCTTCTTGCCACCAAGAAAGATTCTGTAAGCAATATCTGTGGCTCATGTATCTCTCAGTTTTAACTCTAACAAGACAGATATGTACTCTAATGCACTGGGAAAAATCAATGGACACATGATCACAAGTGACATCCAAGATTACAAAGGCCCCTTTATAATCTCAGATGCTGCTTGCTGTAAAGTGATAATTGTTATTTCCTGGCAATGGAACCTAATTGTTTTTTCTCTTCAATTACAATTTTATGCATCTGCATTGATGTTTGTGACTTCACTAGCTTCTTGCCTTCACTGTATGAGCCCATCACACCTAACCTTACCCAACCTGGACTGTGATCCAATCAACAATGACTTCTTCTTCTATGTACTCTTTAGTTCTCCCAAATATCAAAAACTGGTTGTGGTAATTCCAATCCAAGATTACCCTTGTGCAAATGCACATAAAACCCCAGAAATTACTTGGATACTGAGCCATGCATAAGTATAACCCAAAACAATTTGAGCCAAGCACAAGCTCAAAGTTTCAGCCCAACCCCAGTAGATCATCTAGGACCCTGGCAAGCCCCTATTGAACCGGCTCATGTAACTGGTAGCAAACCTGTTTTTTTTTTTTGCAAAATGATACCTATGAAAAATTGGAATCTTGTAGCAATTTTATTGTTTTTATTTTTTATTTTTTTGTCTTGTGATTTCTTCTAATAACATCCTCAGGTAATCAGTAGCAAATTTTCCTAAATAGATAAAAAATAGGGACACAAGGCATTATGCAGCCAAAAAAAAAGGAAAGAAAACTTTCAGCAATGGTGGAAATTTGAAAAAAAAAAAAAAACAGAAATTTGAAGGGTGGGCACTATCATGGTCAACATACTCATGTAAGTGCTATCTAAAACAGGATCTCCAGCCTAAAAACCAATTCTACCTGGCAGCAAAAGTGCTTTTTTACCCAGATTTACATGACAGTCACTGTGCATCAAAGTATGACCAAAGTAGCCACTGAGTAAGAGTCGAGTTGAAGAACAAGGTCCAGGGAAGTCTTTGGATGTCAACTGCCAGCAGTTTCTCACGTTGTTCTTGTAGTGTGAGATTTGTCCATACATACACCACCGGGCGTGGTGGATGGCATTTGGACACCCAATCGGATGTACCAGATGCCATCCGACCTTGGCCCTGCAAGGAGCATCCATTGGATGCGACTTGCATATTGCTGAACCCGGATGGTAGGGCCAAACCATCCATCGGATGGCAGGATTAGAAGCCCTTGGGGCCAAAAAATGCCAGGCCTTGGGTTTCAACCCATGACCTACAGGTGCTGCCACCAGTGACTTCACAGAGGCAGTACCTTGCTACTCGACTATACTAGATTCTTGATACTTCACTAGTCAAAGAGTCAACTACATACCCCGCGCTGCATTTTTGGATCGTTTTTCGACCATCGACCACCTTTTGAGATCATTTTTCGACAATCGACCCTTTTTTTTCCACCGCCGGACCCGGGTGAAAACCATCAATCGGACACTCTGAGAAGTGTCCGATTGATGGTTTTCTTGTTGTCCATCGGACACTCCCAATCAAGTGTCCGATGGACACCGGGCTGTACACCATCCTCTGGATGGTCTCGCCTGCCGAGCATCCCTTGGACGCTTTCTGAAGCGTCCAAACGATGCCCGGGCCGCCCAAGCGTCCGTTGGATGCTTCGCAACCAAGTTGCGGGCGCTCGGGACGGAAACCATCCGTTTGCTGGGGGGTTTTTCTAAAAACCCGCCCCATGGTGTAGTGAATCAGAAATAATAACCAAAACAGCGCAGCTTGGCATCACAAAAATCATCTAATTGTTTTTGGCAAATTTGAAAGCATTTGTAGTGACGAGAAATGCAACATTTTTTCATCATTGAACCCCCGCAGTAATGGACCCTCAATTTGATTCCGCTCTGTACCTCCAGGCTCCAAGACAATCATTGGGAACACGCTCGGAGCTCGGGTCGGAGCTGCTCTAGTGTCCCAAGAGTAAACACCATCTCAAGCTCGAATTATGCGAAAGTTCCATGCATTGAACTTTGCTTGAATACTTCCTTCAGGACCCAGCAAAATCGTACAATCCAAGTCACCAGGATTTCTTGTTCACTATGAGTTGTTCCGGTCAGATTATTTTAATAAGGGTTGCTTAAGTTGATAAAAAAAATGGAATGGAATTCAAGAGAAAATCAACACATTCAAGTACATCACAGACGAGGGAGGCTGTTACATGAGGTCATTGCTATTTTGAGAGAACATGAACTAATGAGCTCCAGCTTGTGCTTCGGACCCTTTGAACAAGATGAGTTCGGGTCTGAAAACCGAAGAAGCCGAAACGACACGGGCGCCCTCGGCAGTGATGACTTGCTGCGACTCAAGATCCAATCCATCCTGGTTTCTATTTGAATGTGACGAAGCTTGTTTCCCATCGCTGGTGAAGTAAATCCTTCGTAATCGGACACTTGCATGCACCTGGATGAAATCGGTTGAATGGTATCGTGTGGGTATCAAGCTATCAAGTGGTAAAAGTAAATCATTCCATTTCGTTTGGGTATAGGCTTCCGAGGTGGGGAAGACTAGTGGAAGGTGGATAAGCTTAGTATGCCCGCTTTTGTTTGATTTCGAACGCGAATAAGATCTTGCTTCAGTCTGAATGTAGCAGGTGAATAAGTGAATCAGAAGAAAACTGTCAGTTTTGTAGGTCACGATTCCTAGGAGAATTCGGCTTGCAAGAGTGCTGTGATTCGTGGTCCGGATTAGTATAGACTACGCAACTTGAAACGTTGAAGCCCTGATCAGAATACGATCGCCCGCTTGATCTCGAACACCCACTTCGAGCATGAATGTATGATCCAGAGGCTTGAGTTGAAGGTGTAGATAAGGTAATTCGATGCCTAAGACGGGATGAAATTCAATGGTCTTATCCAAGGGAGGAAGCCTGATGAAGGTATTTTTGCAGTTGGGAGATTGGATATGGAGGACGATTGATCGAACCGGCCAAGTGTCATCTTGATCCCCCAATAGGTTGGTTGGTCTAGTGAGTTCTGATGATGAGGGCTTGTAGGTGGGATGATAATAGATCAACGGTTTCGAAGAGCCGCTAACGATCTGATGCGTGGTATCGTCTAGCAGGGCGATAAAAGAGTCTGAACTGAGCTGAGAATCGATTGAGAGGCTAGCTTGGTCAAATGGGGCGGATATCGGGAGTGACGAGAAGAGTACCAAGGGTGATGGCTGCATAGGGTAGGAGATGTTCATATATCCAAAAACACATCCGTCGTTAGTCTGGTTCATCGAATCTCAAGCATAGAAGGAGGTCGTACATACCTGGACCACATCCTCGTAAATCGCTTTCATGATCGATCTGTCTGAGTATTCACCACCATCGTCTTTCGTGAGTGTTTTCTGGTTGGCCTGGGAATCGCGCTGCTTACAAAATTTTGGTAGAATGACAGACCAGGTGATCGTTCATTTTTGATGGGAATTGGGTGGTGACTTCGTCCTGCATACCGTGATGCCCGAAAGTCGGGGTTCCTCGGCACGTGGACCCCTGCCGGTGAGACGCGCACTGAAAATGTCCCCCGGCTCCTCCGGGATGGCCGTCCGGAGCCGCCATCCGAAGGCATCATGGCTCCGGAAGTGTGATCGGCTACCGGTCCCATGACCCTACACGAACCAGTCAAAACAGGCACCAAGAAACAAGTCTCCACTCCCCACGCCACACGACATGTGGAGCAATCCACTGGAAAATAATGTATAGAGATTTCAGGCTGGTGCCCTAGCCGGCCACGCTGCGGAGGGGTTGTTGTCTCGTCTTGCAGGCTCAAATTCTCAATCACCTCGGAAGCCGGCCGAGACTAAACTACTGCACACAAGAAAGCTCCCGGTCATCCATGCACCGTCCTGCACCGCCACTCAAAGGTGTGACATGAGATCCACCAGGTGAAAATTGCACAAAATGATCACGGAGTCCAGCACGTATGACTTGTGATTATCCTATAATAAGTCATTATATCTCATCATCATCGTCATCATGTACATAAGAAACTTTGCAAGAGCGATCTGACATTCATAGACATCGACCGGTGTAAATTTAATCCTCATTAAAAAAGACTCACCAGTCCAAATTCCAATAGAAATTCGAGCAAGAAGGTGTGAAGCCGCTGAGTGGGGAGGGGGGGGGGGATCAAAAGGCTAGGAAAAGAACAAGGGCACCGACTGCTGCTCAAAAAAAACACTAGACATTTTGCCGCCTCCCTCTTGAGGCCTGAAGTGAGTCCTGCTAAGCACTTTATTATCCGGGTTCCTTGATGACCGTTATCAGTTTTCCTGCTCACCCGATGGCCCTCAACGTCTCCAGGAGCATACATCGTTTGCGCATAATTGCTCGCTGACCGTCGGTGGATTATCCATCTGAGGTTGCACACCACCTCTTTCCCTGAACTAATTTCCTACAATCATTCTAACAAAACTCCTCAAGACACTTTTTCCTACTCGAATAGAATATATTTAAATACTTAACCTCTTCTTGCAGGTCGATCTGGTGACTGAGAAGGACCACTCTAGTTTCTTGACCCACTCCAGTTTCTTGGCTCGTAAGGCAGTTCATACTACTAGTCATATATATCAGATCGAAACATTTTCATCTGGAAGAGGATTCGTCTGATCAGTTGACATCGAACAAGCCAATCTCACCAGTCGCCACCTCCTCTCATTTAAAGGTCTGGTTTTACAATTATCTCTCATCTTCTCATCTTCCTTTTTCCTTTCTCCTTCTCCCTCTCTTTCATTAGCCCGTTGCGAATTACTCTCAGTCAAGATCAAAGAGCAGAATTGCTTGTCCAGAATCAAAATGTCCGAATCGGCAGCCAGTTGCGACCTTCCTCTGCGTTTTGATATCTTCGTACCCCCTCGCCTGAGATCGAGCTGTTGCACCCCTCCTCCATGGGAACCTCTCCTTTGAGCTGATCATAACCAGTTGATCCACCAAGCAGTGACCCCCTAATTATCTATCATGATGATGCTTACTTACATGAGCTGATGGGGTCTGTTGGAGTGCGTTGGCAGTGCCGATGGGCTGACCGGTTGGTCGTGATTGCCAATTAGTCGTGGCCGTTGCCAAATTCGATCACTGAATTTTCATCTCTCTTGACTACAGTCCATGATGGCTCCGGTCATCCTCATCTGATTGCAAATTACTCATGATCCGGGCTTGATCCCGACGCTTGTGGAACTGCCCTCTCCCGGCTGACTCACCACCTTCAACCGAAATCCTTGGTCAGCGATCAGCATCCGGTCGACTGGGTTTCCTTACCCCGCAAGATTGAATAAAAACAAGTCCCGAATGATGATGATCCGGTGATGGTAGCTTAGGTTCATCATCCAATAAGCCTTTCCTTGGCTGTTCTTTTTTTTTTGCTCCTATTCCCCTTCGGGCTTTTTTCTCTGTTTTTTTTTTCTTCTTCTTCTTTCATTTTTTAATTTAACACCTCAATGTACATCTTCGGTTGGAATCTCCTCACTGTGTCAGCCATCTTTTGATTTGAGCTCAGCATTGGTGCTTACTCCCGAGTTCCCCTTCGTTGGTAATCAGATCACTTGTGAATTTCTTTCTTGTTGAGACAGTCGACTCTCCCCAAAGGACACTACATGCGCTGGATCTTTGATTGATCACTTCGCTTCCTCTCTCCAACACCAACCAACACACCTTGTCCTCCTCCTACCAACCAATTATTCCTGTCTCTGCTGGCTCCCAACAAAATCTCCAAGTCGCAATTGCTGCTCAAGCCCAAGGCTCGCCCCATCTGTCCTACTCCACTGCGTTCGTCGGCCTTACGATCACCGATTCTTATCCCCATCATCCATCTCCCTGTCCATAACTTGTTCTCGCTTTGACATCCGCCGTTGCGCACCGCCGTTCATTTTCCACTTGCGGAAGGAGCTGTTTCTGGCTCCGAAGCGTCGATACTGCTAGGCTTGGTAGAGCCGATTGTCATATATACATACTTCGCTATACTCTTTGGACTTTTTCTGGCCGTGACTTGATTCCGGTCCTTTCAACGCTTCCTCTTGACCACCCTCGGCTGCTGTTTATCCGCTGTGTGCCATCTTTGAACTTATCAGTTTGCTTGGCTGAGTCTCTCCAGACTACCTCTCTTCTTCTCTCCTCCACTACCACTATCTTCTTTGGGTGAAATTTGTCACTTGGCGCAAGCTCAAGGCCCCAAAAGTTATCTGAGCTCAACATTCAACTTGGCTTCGCGGAATTTCTTTCCCGTCTGGTGCTAGTGTTGAGTTGTGCTTTCATTTCTGTCATTATGCTAGCTGAACCATTCTGAAGTCCGCGAGTAAATGCGCGGGCCGTCTCCTAGCTGATCCTCCGGCTGGGCACCTGCACGAGCCTCCCAAGGCTTGTATCCTCCGTGGAGTTGCTGAATCTTTTGCTCTTATGGACTGGTGAAGGGGGTACTCTGCACATCATTGGGTTTGATCGACTGACATTGGATTTTCGATTTTGTTTCTTCCCTGTCTCGATCAGTCAGTTGCCTCGCAAGTTTCGTTCACCATAACCTTTCTTCACACCAATCGGTAGTCCCAGCCAATCCACGAATCGTTTATGAATCACGCCCACTTGGTGAGGTGTCAATAGATCATTATAAACCCCGACCCAAGACTTCCGCCCCGACGCCCATTTTTTGTCCGCCCACTAATTCTTGCTTGGATCAGACTCACTCCGCTTGACTGCACGTTGCATCTTTGTTAAATTCATCTTAAATTGATTGTGCCATTGTATGTTTGCATGCCTTTTTATGACTTGCCACTCGACAGGTGGCCACTTTCTTCAGATGTAGTAATTTTCACTGACTTTTGCCTCTATGTTCCAGTATCAGTCCGCTCTGAGGAATTGGCGAAGATTGCACACCTCAGATATTTCTCTGGTCAACTTTTACTTTGGAATTGAATTTGCTGGTTTTTCATCATGGACGTTCAAGCTCCAACCTCTGCGATCCGCAACTCACCATCCAAAGCGCCCACTCCGGATCACTTGCGCGCGGCGACTCCTTTGCCGTCCTCAAACGTGAGCTCTATTCACAGCAGTCCAATGCCTGAGTCCCCTGTGTCAGGTTTGGGAGCTTTGAAGTTCACGTCGCGAAATCAGCACAAACCTCTTGACAATCAGCCAGGTGAAGCGCCGGTGTCGAAGCAGAGCGAACCTGCTGTTGCCATCTCGGCGAGCCCAGCGGGAGTGTCAGCTTCCGACCTCTCCAATCCCGTGGTTCCCAGCATCGTTTCCGGCAAAGGCGCAAATTTGATGTCGAAATGGCTTCCCAGCTCTACATCTGCGCTTGCTGAGCCTTTGGAGCAAGAGAACCTGTCTCGCAAAAAAGAAGCGGCCAACTCGAATGTGCTCATGACTCCTCCGTTCACGCCACTCAAGCGGTCTGACCAGTTCCACGGCACTAACAATTCTCAACATGCCCAATTTCGAGGAATCGACAAGTCCCGAGGCATGCTCATGACACCGCCCACGACTGTCAAGCACGAACAAATTGTTAACAAACCCAGAACACCAATGTCTACGCTCACGCCAACCTACAGGCTGTCTGGCAGAGCCTCTAGCAGAGGAAGCTCTCCTAACCCCCAGGATTTTCACCATCGGCAAAGTCCGATCGAATCATTGACACATCAAATGAGTTTACTTCCGCTCGAAAGTCACCGTCCCCGATCGGTGTCCAGCCCTATGGAGCCGAGCTTTGATCACGGTGATAACCCGAATTTGGCGCGCCTTTTTGCTCCCAAGTCCGACTCACCCAGCCGCACCGTCCTTGGCATGCCTCCTGGGGACAGCTCTGCTGAATACCGCAAACGTGCTGGCACATTCTGCAGCACTCCCTCTGCCCAATTTCGCTCTCTTGTTTCCGATGCTAACCTGCCAGCCTCATCGCTGCTTAACCATCATAAAAACGAAACTCCGCCTAGCAGTCTTGGCTGTACCAGTCAACATGTATCAAATTATCCCGGCAATTCAATGAACATGTTTTCGGGCATGTCCTCTCCGCTGGCGTTCTCAAACATCGGCTCTTACCTGGGCTCGAGCAACCAACGATCTGAGGATCCTGCGGCTCTCCTATTTCCCACTTCGAGAAATCCGCCTGATTTTTCATTGAGCGGCTCCAAGTCAACCTCGCAATCATCCATACTGGTGGGAAGTGCTGCTAGTGATCGCCACCAGCGCTATCATACGGCACCCACTGACAGCAGTCCACTTTTCCACACTGGACGCCCATCACTACCTATGTCTTCCAATGAAGGCGCGCCTGGACCTCCTGACTCGGTCCGTCGAATAGAAGAACGTTCCATGTCTTTAATAGGCTCTTCCCCGGTAGACCGAATCCAATCGAAACTTTTCAATGCCAACTTCAGGCCACGCTCTAGTACGGTGGCTGATACGAGTGGCAGGAGGTCAATGGGAAAGAACTTGTTGAGCGTTAATTGGGAAGGAAATGAATCTCCCAAAGATATTTCCGAACAACCCAATGAAGCGGAGACCCGAGCTGCTGCTGGTGGTCAGCTCAAGGAATCTACAAGATCGTCTGTTGCGAAATGTTCACATCTGCAATGACCTTCCACTAAATCTGATTATTTTCTCTTTGTTAAAATAGCTCTCCTAGTCGAACTCAAACTTGGGGTGCCATGCCTGGTGCAATTTCGCCGCGCTATTGTAAGGTTTTGGGGATTCCACCCAAGTTATTGGGGAGCATGAAGGGGATTGTCCGAGTACGGAATGCGTTTGCCGTGAGTCAATTACATCACTTGTTTGCGCCATTTTGGCATTGCTGACTCGATGGGTATGATGACCAGGCGTATGGTGATCTTTTGGATATTCATGTGGACACTTTGAGTCCTGTTGGCTTCATCTTGGTCGGCTTCCATGACACGCGTTCCATTCTCAACTTGTTCCAAAATGGTGTTAAACCTCTTGAGGTGCGTGATTCCTTTCCAGTCAAACTTTTCTATAGCTTACTTTATTGTCTTGCCGCATCAGAACAATTTTGGATCTTATTTGAAGATGGAACCTTTGCAACGCAGTGATGTGATACAGCTTACACAGGATTTTGACAATCCTGTTCTCTCCTCAAATGAAGGCGCTCTTAACTTACGGTTTGATGGTAAGCTACATAGTTATACATATCCCGAATCAGCCCTAATAGGATTTCTTCATCTTAGATCCACGAGGAATCATAACGGAAGAAGTCTTAATTGAGTATCTGCAAAGATACGGTGATCTCAAGGCGTTGCGAGTCGTTGGGACATCCCGTTGGTATGTAGAGTGGTACGACGACCGACGAGCCGATGCAGCCCAAAAGGAGTTGGTGGCCAGAGATTTTGCTGTTGGTTTTCCCACTCCAATCTCCAACTTCATTGAAGCATCGACGCTCAAAACCACCTTGCATTCTTTCACCCCACTCGAATCATAGGACTTCCAAGTAACAGTTGAAGTTCCCGAGCCGGACTTACGCTCTATGCTCGAAAACCAATATCCTGGTGAGATATAACGCTACTTTTGAAACATGAGTCAGCCTCTGATTTCCTATCTGTTTTGCGCATAGGCGGAGTGACTGGGCCACTCGGTAATGGGCTCGCACCCAGCGTGTGCCTTTTGCCTCCTACTATCAGGCCACCGCCTATGCTCAATTCGGCGGACCCATATAACAATAGTTTGATGTACCGTTATGTTGGAGACCCTTACGCTGCTAACTACATGTTCCCATGGAGCCAGCCAGTCAGTTAACCTTCAAATTAACTATCATTGACAGTCTCAAGGCTGATTTCTTTATCTTTTTAGCTATCAATTCCACCTCCTGCCTCTTTGTACAATCTCCACACCCCTGCACCTCTTCCAGCCGACGGCATGGCATGTGGCCCTTCTCAGACTATCACACCCGAGATTTTTGGTTCTTCTATCCACCACATTGATCAGCAAATGAGCCCTCACCCGCCAGCCGCGAACAGACCGCGGGCGTTCCCATTCCCTGGTGTACCTCCTAGTAACGTGATGGATCTGGATCGTATTGAATGCGGAAGTGATCCTCGCACCACTTGCATGATCAAGGTAAGCGTAGGGTCTTTCTTCTGCCTGCACGGAAGCTGACGGCGCTTTCGTCTCAGAACATCCCCAACAAAATCACAGACGACATGTTATTCAACTTTATCAACGAGATATGCCCAAGAGGTTTTGACTTCCTGTACTTGAGAATGGATTTTAAGGCTCGCTTGAACGTTGGCTACGCTTTCATCAACTTCCTATCCGTCGAAAATGTGTTGAAGTTTGCCAAAGCCAAGTTGGGGGTCAAATGGGGCGTATTTTGTGAGCATTATTCAATCAGGTAGACCGATATCAAATGACTGAGCGTTTCTATCCGTCTCAATCCCAGTGTCTGAGAAAACGGTGCAAATGTGCTATGCTAGCATTCAAGGAAAGGAGAATCTGATTGAGAAGTGTAAGTACATTTACCATGTTTTTGGTGGAGTTATCACCCGCTGATCAATAAATATTTTGGCACGGCTCAGTCAGGAACAGGTAAGCCTTTGCGAAAGATCTGACTCGCTTTTTGTCAAGTCTCTGATTTTAATTTTGATGACGAAATAAATGTAGTGCTATCATGGAGGAAGAAGAATCTTTCAGGCCAAAGATATACCATTCCAGTGGACCATTGATGGGCCTTCCTGAGCCCTTTCCTCGTGCGTGTTTAATCAGCTAGATGTGTCTGCATTCAGATTCCGACTAAACAAGCCTTTCTTCCAGATGCTAACGATTTGCAGCGCAAAGCTCGCTCACAAGCCAATGCCGCCTTATTGGTCAGGCCTCCTATGTCGTCTATAACTCCTATTCATCAATAACTTTACACCGGATCTTTGCTTGGCACCCTTCTTCTTTCTTGGTAAGGGCTTGCATTCTCATTGAATGGATCTGAGACAGTCAGGCTATTTAATACCATGAGCAATTTCCCCATCCAATTGGGTGGACAATGGTTCGCAAGTGTTCACCTTGACTTATTGGTTATGTTAATTGTTCTGGCATTGCAACTTTTTCTTCGAACCAATTTTTGGTTTCATAAACTTCAAATCGTTCTCTTCTCATTGAATTAGTACTACAAACTCCTTCTTTCATCTACATAGTCAGTTTTCCTTGCCCCATTTAACACAATGGGTGTTTTTAACCAATCTTTGTAAAGCAGCACATCCTTTTCCTTTTCTTCTTTGTCATACATTTGTATCATTCTAGAATTGTGCAGCAGATGGTATGCTATGGTGTGCACGTATTTGGATTTTCTCGATGTAGATACTACTATTTTTTGGGCATTTCTTCAAGAACAGCCTTGTGTGCATTATTGTAACAATGTAATTAACCAGGACCACTACACATCACAAGTTGTAGATTTTCATTCACATGTTGGAGATTGCTTTACCTGGTTTAGAAATTTTTGCCCTGGAATCAATGACTGTCACTTTCCAGAGGTCAATTCAATTGTTTAACTTCCAACCCTTTAAGATTAGACATATGTTTTGTTCATGCAATGTGCATCACAATGTATTGAAGCATATCACAAGATAAGGGAAATTGCACAAGTGCAAAAATTTGCAGATTTGATACCAACTTAACTGCCAACAGATGAAGGTTATTATGAAACAGATTGATAATTTACATGTTAGATCACTCAAAGCTATTGTATGTCCACGTTTGGCTGATTAGTTGTGGTGAAAAAAATTGGAAACAGCATCTGCACCATATATCTGAAGACTTACAAAGCTAGTTAGAGTAAATACTCTAGACTAGAGCCAGGCCCAGAAAATTTCTCATGACCAGTGTATTCCAAGTGATTCAGGTTTGAAAATATGTGTGTATATATCCCACTAATCCAACTTGTTTGAATTATGTTCCTTTCTACTCTTGCCTCAAAACGTCCTCATGTTTTTTCTCCTAAAACACTTGTGAAACCATGTATGATGTACTTTTAGTAGCATGATAGTGTAGACTTAGCACATTCATGTAGTCATTAAACCTTATCTAGTAGCTATTGTTTGATCAATCCAGACTCAAAAGGTTATTCTTCAAAAATATTGTCTTATCTTTTGGTCCAGTTTATTTCTTATTCACTTTTTCTCAACCACAACTTAAGGGATGGTCTTGGGGACAGGGCTAGATGGGCATCCCGAGGAACAAGCCCTGGAAATTCTGGGTCTGCGTAAAAGCTCCAGGGCTGGTTGCATTTTTTTTCTGATTCAATGATAGCACTATGGCCCAGAAATACCTACCTATCCCAGCCACAAGTGCTTTCCACTGAATCCCACACATGAATACAAAAAAAAACCTGTTTACATGCGCCAAAACAGGAAAAAATCAGGAAAAATCACTTTAAACATTGAATATGACCAGCCCATCCCAAATCCCCAGAGACTGGGGACCGGGGAAGCCCCAGAATCCCAAGGTTTGGGACCATCCCTGGTCACAGCTTGACCAATCTTGTACATAGTCTATTCAAACCAGCTAGGATACAAGTAATGGTCACCCTTGATTTTTTCTATCTTTTCTGCCTCTATGAGCCAATCTGACAATTCAATTTTGGAGAAACTAGGATTTTTGTTGAGAGAGGGAGAGGGGGAAAGAGACCGGGCGACAAAAACCTTGAGGAAAAAGCTCAGAGGGAAGAACAAATGGTCTTAGAGCCCAAAAAGGGGCTAAATGCTGCTAGCTTGCGTGGAGGAAAAGCTCACACGCTACAAGGAGTTGTATCTTGTAGAGACTCCAGGGATCAGTGGACAGAAGAACAGATGCCTTTCAATTTCTAACTCAGGAGATGTGGGACAGAAGGTGACAGAAGCATATTCATCTGGAGCAGGAAAGAAATGAGTGACAGATGTGAAAAGGAGTGACAAGGATGTGAAAGGGAGAGAAAGGAAAGACACCAGGACTGCAGAATTCCAACAAATTTGTTGTGAAAACACCTTCTTATAAAGTTCTCCTTTTTAGTTGGTTGTAGTTTCATCACATCTTTGATTTTTCTTCTGCTTATTCCCCCCAGAGGCATTTAAAATTCCTACAGTACAATTCTAAGGAGGTCACTATTGTTATACTTGTTGTGTATACACAAAAATCAAACCTTCAAGCCCAATAACAAGCTCTCTGGAAGACAGGTACATCAAGGACCAAAGCCAAGCCCCCATCTGGAATTTCAATGAATCAGAAGGATGCCACAAGGCCAAGATCCCTGGACAGAAGACAAACTGGATTTCCCATCTCATTTCTTTATTACATGATTTTCTCATCCATTCTTTCATCATCAATGCCACTCTTGGATTCTGCATGTGTTTCAATCTAATCCACTTTCACTCCAGTCTTATCAAGTTTCAACAATAAATATTGATCCATTGAGAAATGAAATATGGCTTGAGTGTGTGACTATATTTAAAATGGGGTGTATTGTCTGAATATGTAATTGTAATGATAATGAAGGAAATACAAGTGAATATATAGTGAAATAATACATGGTATGGAAAGGTTACCACATTGGCAGTTCCACACCAGCCAATGTAAAATTGGTCTGGGAGACCAATCTTACATTGGTAACCTCCACTCAACTTTATTGCAGGGGGTTGCAACCAAGACAACCCCTTTCAAAGTGTTTCACCTCCATCATCCCCTTCTCCATTCAGCTAAAGTGTTTCCTAACATCTTCTGAGTCTCACATTGGATTGTGTTTATTGTTGAATGGCAGCAAGAATGACTGTGAAAGTGAGGTTTGGTGTGGTCTCTTTTATGTTTATTTTGTTGTGGTATGCTGAAGGAAAACAGAGAAGTTTTTATCAATGTGTAAAAGCTCCCCACTCCTCAGGACTTTAGGACTGAGGATGAAAATCAGTGGGTAGCTGAATTGTGAAAGAATTCAAATTTCCAATTATTTGTTATATTTTGGCCTTTTGTAAGAGGTAACCTTTGCAATTTTTTTCTGTAGAAACATGCTTTTAATATACTTGTATTTTTCATACTGTGCTATATGAGGTATAATAATCAGATAAAGTAGAAGAAGGTAACATGATAACCAGCAGAAAAATATGGGAAAATATTTGTGAATGTATTACATGACCAAATTGGAGCAGTGTGAATGAGCATGGCCACATTAATCTGGGCTTATATGGTCACAGAGGGATGTGGGTGTTGATTCATGTCAATCAAAAACTGAATTTAGTCATGTAAATTTCTATCTTTTATGTCTCAGTTAAGTATATATCTACATATAATGGTTCATTGAATGGTGAATCAAGGTGAAAACTTCTTGCACTGCTGCCACCTGCAATATGTTGACTAAAAATAATGTCAGATTTTCTCTTCACAATACAAAGAAGATATCCATCACTTTCATTCTTGATTGACCAGTGGGTGAATCCTCGGCATTTGCATTTCTTGAAAGCAACTAAATCTTGAAATTTTTCATCTTTTTTTCCCGTTAAGGTGATGGATTCGTTTGGAATTATCATTCTACCTTTAATGATAGGTTCATCTTGCAGTGTGACTTGAAAAATACTATTTGCCACAAATAGAAGGAACCAAAAGAATGGTGTTTTGATGAACATTTTTGTGCTTTGAGCATCAATAACATGAAGAATTAGTGATTAAATAATAAAATAGATACTGATAGTGAAAAATATGCTTCAAAATTCAGAATAGTTACCTTGAAACTAGAGATCCACTGAGGAATGTAAATGGATAACTTGTCTGAAATCCCTATCAATTTTTGGTATATAAGATTAGCACTTTTCTAGATCAATCACTCAAGATAGATCACACCTGGATTGGTAGAAGAAAAGCTGAAGTTTAGCCATGGCAATATATTATGTAAAAAAAACCATCCCTGAATTTGACAAACCTCAAATGCCAATTTTTTTGTATAAAATGGTAGAGAAAAATGTATCACTGGAATTAGAGAATTCAATGTAAAATGTAGAAAGATTTGAAAAAAAGAGATTTCAAAGTCTTATGTGAAAAGGGATGTTGGATGATCCACAAAAGAGTTGGCCCTTTTATCAAAGCAGATGAGTTCATGGTTTGTCAACACAAGAAAATGTCAACTGAAATTCAGATACATTTGAATTGAAATAAACCAAAATATTTCTGACATTAGTTCAACTGAAACAAAATAAAGAGAAACTGCATTAACTTTATCTATGACATGAAGCTTTGGTGAAAACCTCATTTTCAAAAATAGCTTGAAACACCATGAAATTGCCTATTCATGCTGAACTCTTTGCAGAAGTATCTCAACTGAGAAGTATGCACTTTAATTTTCTTTATGTATCCTTTCATTGCAAATTTTATAGATAAGATTGATTGAATTGAAATGCTTAAGATACTAAAAGGAAAACTCAATCAATTGGTGGAAGTTTGCATGCAAGTGCTCAGGCCATACTCTTCACTGAACTTAATTACAACTCAGATTTTAATCCTATGTTGTTCTTGGCCACCCCTTGGAATCCTCAGGGTGTTACCACCAAATCTTTTAGTATGATTGACTACATGAATTCATAAATGAATCTAATTCAATTGAACACTCAAAAAACTGATTTCAAAATTTCAGTATTTCTGCCTGTGACACCCCCTCCTGCTGCTTCTAGAGCCTGAAACAGGTTAGGAACTCATCTAATCTTCCTGTTTCCACTTTACACTCATACAGTCTATCCTATGCCCTTCACTTAATCATTTGTCTGATTTCCTGACAGGATTTTAATCTTCATCACTTGAAAATGTGCCTACCCATGACCAACCCTGAGACAGTTAAAGTATCTGCCATGTGACTCATGTGTCTGCCATGTATCACTCCATGTATCTAAACACCAATAAAAAAGACTATCTGACCAATGTGCCTTTATTTGCAAGGAGATGCAACAAATTTGGTTTTTAGCCATGCAGCTTTGCAGAATTCTCCATGATACACAAAGATTATTGTATCTTTCACAGTGTTTACATGCCAAACCCAACCCAACACCTTGCTGTAGCACATCCACTCACTGTCAAAACAATGTGTTCACCTGAGCCTGACTGCCCCTCTGCCTTAGCCAAATTGTTTAGAGCATCCGCATCGGTGCGCGAATTACCCCGCGGATTAAGGATCAAGTTAAAACGGGATTAACCCTAATCCAGGCCTTCAAACACATCGGTTGGGCCTAGACAAAAGTATTTGATACTAATCTTGCAACTAATCCCGTCAACCTCATTGGTAATCAGCTCACAAATGACTATGGCGGACAAAAATGTTCCCTTTCCAGAATCCAACTTCATCACAAGACAGAACATTGAGCAAAGCCGGCTTTTAACCCAGAGCCTCATGGACAACAACTTTGAAACAGCTGCTTTTCTTGATTCAAGCGATTTGGAGCCAGAAAACCTGCCACGTCAATCGAAGAAGCGGCGGCCTAACAAGGAACGGAGCCATGTCAAAAATCATCAGAGGCTCATGGACGATTATTTTAATGAAGACTAGACATACGATTCTTGAGATTTTACTTGACGATTCCGAATGGAAAAGCTGCTTTTCCTGCGTATCCTCCAAGATCTCACTGCAAACTTCCCATACTTTCTCCAAAAACCAGTAAGCCCTTCATCAAGATCAAAAGAAATATGTGAATACATTGACTTATCCATACTTTTTGCAACAGGACTGTACTGGTAAATTAGGCTTGAGTCCTCACCAGAAGATCACTGCGGCCATCCGACAGCTAGCCTACGCCATTCCCCTTGACGCGACCGATGATTACTGCCGTTGTGGTAAATAATACTGTGTTTTTACGCAGAAAAATATAAAAATTTATTATTATCTCTTTATATATTACAGATATGGTAAAAGTAACATCAGAAATGGATTTCTCAGGTAAAATTAACCCTAGTCACCCACTACAACTGACCCCATATCTCTCATGGTTTAGAAGTTACACAGATTTCAACCTGTCACGGGATGTCTTTTGGATTCTTTACTCTCAGTGTGGCTTGTTTTGAATACTGCATGCATATTGAATATTGAATTCCTTTGTGTTGTATTGAATTCCTTTATTGGCACATAGTGCATATTGAATTCCTTTGTAGGTGCACATGCATTCCTTTGTAGTAGGACCTTGTAGGCTAGCCAAATTCCCTCAAGGCAGTGCTCTCACCAGAC